ATTGCAATATGATTTTGGTATAAAGCTTGCTAAAAAAAAGCATATGGTGTCCTTTTGCCATCATATATATTGAATTAAGAAAATTCCACTACTAGGTCCAGAGTTTTAAAATAATAAACAAATCAAGTATTGGGCTTCTTTCTTGTAGTGCCAAACAGTGTAAAATATATAAAATGTAGTTTTAGCCATATGTTTTAAACAAAAGAATATGTTGTTAACTCTTAACAGTTTCCAGTCTTACTTAAGAAATGAACAGCAACAGAGCAGCATTTTACACTGAAACACTTCACCCTCCAAACCTCTAGTGGGCGACTCCTTCCGCTTTAATGGAGAGCTGACACAAAATGAGTCTGTGGCTTTGTCCAGAGGGTCTCGCAGGAAAATCACACAACACAGCGTTCTTTTCACAGATCAGAGAGCAGGTTTCTCTAAAGCTGACCAATGCTTACTTTAACTTTCGATGGAAAAAAAAACCTTTCGACGGAACACAGCGTTTTGCGCATGCGTCCGAATATGGCAACACTACGGCAAGCTGGCTGTAGTTAGCTTGTAGCTTCGCTACTTAGCTCTCGAAGAAAAGACTTTAGTGCCACTTGCGCACAGTTTTCAACTAAAAAAAAGTAACGATTAAATCTGACAGCTCTGATTTTACATTTGAACACCACTTATGCACAGTTTTCAACAAACAAAAGTAACGATTAAACTGACAACTCTGATTTTACTTCAGACACAGATTACTGCGGTTAGCCGGTAGAAGACAGATCTCTATCGTACGTTAAATTTCGATCGTTTCTACCGTATACCGTATATATTGCGCATTCCTACCTGCGACTTATAGGCCGTATTTATGGATTTTTTCCCATATTTATAAACCAATTTTTGACTGAGATAAGACCGTTTTCATTCATTCTGACTGAAAAAAATTGAACAGTAGCATTTTCAGCCACTTGATGGCAGTAGAGTAGTAGTAGCAGTAAGGCATGCCATTGCATCATGTAATAGGTAAAAGTGGCTATAATGACAAATTCAAAAAATTTCAAGTAAAAAATAACTGGACTTTATTTATACTTTATTGTTTGTGCCTTGAACTTTTTTGAATTTACCATGTCCTACATGACTGATCATCTTTACCATGACACAATTGGCTTGCCATAGTCTTCCAGCTTTGTTCTGCTCGCTGCTTGGAGCAAACGTCAAACCAGCTTCACTGCCCCGGCGATGCAGCTAATTTGAACATTAAAGTGCATTTATTAAGTAAAAGTTCAACAGAGACACACCTTTGCTATAATTTCGAGCAAACAAATATTTGTTTTAGGTGCTTTTTTAAAAAAAAATTCGAAGAAATGAGCAGCGTTCCTACTTCCATTTTTTTCCTCCCTCTGCTCGCTCCTGGAGCACCGAGGCAGCGAATACTTTTGAAATACAGCTGATTTGACTGTTAGTCCTTTAATTGAACAAATGTTTGACTGAGACACACCTGTACTATAAAGTCGAGCAAACAAATAATTGTTTTTAGGTATTTACAGTGAGGAAAATACAAACCGGATTCCAAAAAAGTTGGGACACTAAGCAAATTGTGAATAAAAACTGAATGCAATGATGTGGAGATGGCAAATGTCAATATTTTATTCGTAATATAACAAAATGCGTCTGTGAATAGGCTGTTTAGTTTCTCCATTGTAGAGGTCTGGACAGTCCTCGCTGCATTGGACCGCATACACTACACCACTCTGTTTGTGCATGGGTGTTTTGTCCTTGAGGTGGACCAGCCTCTGTTGGAGAGTCCTGCTGGGTTTGAAATGTACTGGGATGTTGTGTTTGTTGAAAATCCTTCTGAATTTCTCTGATACTCCAGCAACATAAGGGATGACAATGTTTTTACGTCTGTTGTTGTCCTTATTCTGTTTATTGGTGTGTTTTGTAGATTTCCTCGCTGACTTGACAAAAGCCCAGTTAGGATATCCACATGTTTGGAGAGCTTCTTGGATGTGTTTGTTCCTTTTCCTTCCCTTCTGTCTTCGTGGGATGCGTTCATATGTTCAATGTTAATATTTGGCACAGTAGCCTTTGTTTGCAGTTACACAGGTCAAACATTTCCTGTAGTTTTTCACCAGGTTTGCACACACTGCAGCAGGATTTTGGGCCATTCCTCCACACAGATCTTCTCTAGATCAGCCAGGTTTCTGGGCTGTTGCTGAGAAACAGAGTCTGAGCTCCCTCCAAAGATTTTATATAGGGTTTAGGTCTGGAAACTGGCTAGGCCACTCCAGAACCTTGATATGCTTCTTACGGAGCCACTCCTTGATTATCCTGGCTGTGTGATTCAGGTCATTGTCATGTTGGAAGACCCAGCTACGAACCATCTTCAATGCTCTAACTGAGGCGAGTGGAATTAAGACCAAAAAGTTCTATTTTGGTCTCATCTGACCACATAACTTTCTCCCATGACTCCTCTGGATCATCCAAATGGTCATGGGCAAACTTAAGACGGGCCTGGATGTGCGCTGATTTAAGCAGGGGAACCTTCCGTGCCATGCATGATTTTAAACTATGACGTCTTAGTGTATATACCCACAGTAACATTGGAAACAGTGGTGCCAGCTCTCTTCAGGTCATTGACCAGCTCCTTCCATGTAGTTCTGGACTGATTCTCCACCTTTCTTACAATCAATGATATGCCACAAGGTGAGATCTTGCATGGAGCCCCAGTCCGAGGGAGATTGACAGTCATGTTTAGCTTCTTCCATTTTCTAATATTTACTCCAACAGTTGATCTTTTTTCACCAAGCTGCCTGGCAATTGCTCCGTAGCCCTTTCCAGCCTTGTGGAGGTCTACAATTTTGTCTCTGGTGTCTTTGGACAGCTCTTTGGTCTTAGACATGTTAGTAGTTGGAGTCTTACTGATTGTGTGAAGTGGACAGGTGTTTTTATGCAGCTAACAACCTCAAACAGGTGCTTCTAATTTAGAATAATAATTATAATAATAAGTGTAGTGGAGGTGGACTTCTTAGAGGTGGGCTAACAGGTCTTTGAGGGCCAGAATTGTTGCTGATTGACTGGTGTTCAAATAATTTGCAGCAGTAACACAGAAATAAATTATTTTAAAAAATCATACATTGTGATTTCCGATTTTTTTAAAATTTTTTTTAGATTATGTCTCTCACATTGGACATGCACCTAAGATGAAAATTTCAGACCGCTCCATGATTTCTAAGTGGGAGAACTTGCAAAGTCGCAGGGTGTTCAAATACTTACAAACCGGATTAAAAAAAGTTGGGACACTAAACAAATTGTGAATAAAAACTTAATGCAATGATGTGGAGGTGCCAACATCTAATATTTTATTCAGAATATAACACAAATCACAGATCAAAAGTTTAAACTGAGAGATTGTATCATTTTAAAGGAAAAATCTGTTGTTTCCAAATTTCATGGCGTCAACAAATCCCAAAAAAGTTGGGACAAGTCCATTTTTACCACTGTGTGGCATCCCCCCTTCTTCTTACAACACTCAACAGATGTCTGGGGACAAAGGAGACCAGTTTCTCAAGTTTAGAAATAGGAATGCTCTCCCATTCATGTCTAATACAGGCCTCTAACTGTTCAATCGTCTTGGGCCTTCTTTGTCGCACTTTCCTCTTTATGATGCGCCAAATGTTCTCTATAGGTGAAAGATCTGGACTGCAGGCTGGCCATTTCAGTACTCGGATCCTTCTCCTACGTAGCCATGATGTTGTGATTGTTGCAGAATATGGTCTGGCATTATCATGTTGAAAAATGCAGGGTCTTCCCTGAAAGAGATGACGTCTAGATGGGAGCATATGTTGTTCTTGAACCTGAACATAGTTCTCTACATTAATGGTGCCTTTCCAGACATGCAAGCTGCCCATGCCACAAGCGCTCATGCAACCCCATACCATCAGTGTTGCAGGCTTCTGAACGGAGCATTGATAACAACTTGGGCTATCCTTGTCCTCTCTGGTCCGGATGACATGGCACCCCAGTGTTCCATAAAGAACTTCAAATCGTGACTCATCTGACCACAGAACAGTCTTCCATTTTGCCACACTCCATTTTAAATGACCCCTGGCCCAGTGCAAACGTTTGAGCTTGTGGAGCTTGTTTAGAAATGGCTTCCTCTTTGCACTGTAGAGTTTCAGCTGGCAACGACGGATGGCACGGTGGATTGTGTTCACTGACAATGCTTTCTGGAAGTATTCCTGAGCCCATTCTGTTATTTCCTTGACAGTGGCATTCCTGTTTGAGGTGCAGTGACGTTTAAGGACCCGGAGATCACCAACATCCAGTAGGGTTTTACGGCCTTGACCCTTACTCACAGCGATTGTTCCAGATTCTCTGAATCTTTTGATGATGTTATGCACGGTTGATGATGATAACTTAAAAGTCTTTGCTATTTTACGCTGGGTAACACCATTCTGGTATTGTTGCACTATCTTTCTTCGCAACAATGGTGGAATTGGTGATCCTCTTACCATCTTGGCTTCTGAGAGACACTGACACTCTGAGAAGCTCTTTTTATACCCAATCATGTTGTCAATTGACCTAATTAGTGTTAATTGGTCTTCCAGCTGTTCGTTATATGCTCAATTTCCTTTTGCCAGCCACTTATTGCTACTTGTCCCAACTTTTTTGGGTTTGTTGACACTGTGAAATTTTGAATCAACATATTTTTCCTTTAAAATGTTACATTTACTCAGATTAAACTTTTGATCTGTCATTTATGTTATATTCCGAATAAAATATTGACATTTGCCATCTCCACATCATTGCATTCAGTTTTTATTCACAATTTGTTTAGTGTCCCAACTTTTTTGGAATCCGTTTTTAATGGCAAAGCGACATATTTATGGGTTTTCCCACTTTTTTAGACATATTTTGACTGATGCGACTTGTACGTTGGAAAATAAGGTACATGTTGTAAATGTGAAACTGCTGTTTTTGTTTTTGTTTCCAACAACCATTCTGACCATGTCTTCCAGATCCAACGCTCTAGAAACAAACAGATGAAGGAAATGTTCCCAGAAGGCTTTGGGATCCATCATGCTGGGATGCTGAGGTCTGACCGAAGCTTGATGGAGAGCCTGTTTTCTAAAGGCCATCTCAAGGTTTTGGTCTGCACTGCCACCCTGGCCTGGGGAGTAAACCTGCCAGCTCATGCAGTCATTATAAAGGTGCCTAAAATTAGTCTTCTGGTTTTTTTTTTTTGCAAAATTGCTTTAATTATACTATACGTTTAATGTGAGCTTGCAGGGGTTGTCAACCTAAAGGCACTTTCACAAAACACTTCAAGCCATAGCTTGGAACAGACAAAGTGTGAAAGGAAATAAATGACAGCATTCAGTTCACATATTAGTTATGTCATAATATATGTACAAGTAATATATGTATTATGTAATATATGTCACTTCACCACTTGCTCAAGCCTAGATCGGATGCTTCCCTCCCTCCCTCTCCGCTTTGCTGCTTTGTCTGTCTGTGAAACTGCTTCTGAGACTCTCTTGCATTTCTTCCGAACCATAATCATGGGCTTGTTTTGACCAGTTGGTCCCTCAACTCAATTTACACCATTTCTTTGAAGAGAAGACAGGCTTTAGGCGAGCCGATTTGCCCTGTTGGCACGTACGCAGCTGGATATCTCATCGACTGGAAGACTTGATGATGTGTCTATCTCTGCTGCCATCTGTGGATTTTAAGGACGCATAACTGGTTCCTACTTTTTGGATTCAGCTGGTGCTGGTTTTTATCTACAATCAAGGAAGTCGTCAGCAGCAAATTTGGACCCTATCACGCTGCTTGCCTTTATGATGGTTTGGTTTCATATCTCGAGTACCCGGACTCAAATGCTTTGGGCTGAATGGATCAGATCTTGGGAATTTTTACTCAGTCATGTTCCATCGGTGTGGCCATGTTATTTTAGACATTTCGGAACCAAGTGGACCAAACACAGACTCATGGTAGATGTCATTAAATTCTGCTTGTCCCCAAAACAACTGTGTGTTTATCTAAATTTTGGTCGCCTTGGCTGGCCTTGAAGGCCACCTTATCTGAATTTTGCCTGGAGAAAAAATGTGATCTGACGTTCACCACCCCCTCCCTGAGGAATTTCCAACTGATAACCAGATGAAACCCCGCTGAAAAAACTTTGTATCATCATTTCAGGACTCTCGATTCTCAGGGGTTATTCTTGGCCATTCCTCGACATACCTCGAGAATGTTTATGGATCTTACCGGAGGACATTGACTGATTACAGTGACCTCGAGAGCATCTGTAGACGTTGTTAACCGCTCTCGTCTCTTCCTTCTTCCTGCTCTGCTCTATTGCAGAATGTCTACGTAAATATGTGCTTGTTTGTGCGAGGTGTTTTTTCAATATTAGAGGTTTTTCTCAGCCAAGAAAAAAGTCTGATAGGAATTTTTTCACCTCCAACTCCTACATGTGTCCAGTTAACCACTGTTTTTGTCTGTCCAAACAGGTCTCACTTGTAAATGAGTCTTCGAGGCTCAATGTGATTTATCTGTTTAAATAAAGGTTGAATGAAAATATATATATTTGTTCGTTCAAGTCCTGTTTAATTGGAGGTCCTCACTGTTTAAATGTTCTGTTTTTAACAGGGAACACAAATTTATGATGCAAAGCGTGGTGCTTTTGTGGATCTTGGTATCCTGGATGTTATGCAGATTTTCGGCCGAGCGGGTCGACCCCAGTTCGATAAGTTTGGAGAAGGCACTATCATCACTACCCATGACAAGCTGAGTCATTATCTGACTCTGCTGACCCAACAGAATCCCATTGAGAGTCAGTTCCTAAGCAGCCTGGCTGACAACCTGAATGCAGAGGTTAGTCTCTACAGATTTTTTTATTTTATTTTATTTTTTATATATATCACTGTGAAACCAACCCCACTAAGGAGCACAAGCCAGTATATATTTTGTGCCTGCCCCAAGTCTGGGTAAATGGTGAGGGATGTGTCAGGAACAACATCTGATGTAAAACACTTTTTTCCCAAAATTAATGAGTTCATCTAAGCATTATCATTCTGGATCGGTCGAGGCCCAAGTTAACTGCAATCAACACTGGTGCTGTCGACAAACGGGGTGCTGGCAGAAATTGTGTAACCATTAGTCGAAAACCATGAGGAGGGAAACGTGTCAGGAGACAGAGGGAGAAGAGGAAAGTGAAGAATGTAGGACTGAGGGTTGCAACTCTAAATGTGGGGACAATGTCAGGCAAAGGTAGCAAGCTGGCTGACATGATACAGAGAAGGAAGGTAGATGTTTTATGTGTCCAAGAGACCAAGTGGAAGGGCAGCAAGGCTTGCAGCATTGGAGCAGGATTTAAACTGTTTTACCATGGTGTGGATGGAAAGAGGAATGCCTTTGGGGTGGTCCAGAGGAAGAGTTGGCAAAGAAAATAGTGGAGATGAAAAGAGTGTCAAATAGGCTGATGTGCCTGAAGGTAGAAGGTAGAAGTAGAAGGTCTGATGCTAAACATCGTGAGTGGTTATGCTCCACAGGTTGGATGTGATGTGGAGGAGAAAGATACATTTTGGGAGGATCTGGATGAAGTGATAGAGAGTATTCCCAGGGAGGAGAGAGTTATGATCTGCGCTGACATGAATGGACATGTTGGTAAAGGAAGCAGAGGGGATGAGGAAGTGATGGGTAGGTTTGGTGTTAAGAAAAGAAACCAGGAAGGACAGATGGTGGTGGATTTTGCCAAGAGAATAGAAATGACTGTAGTCAACACTTATTTCCAAAAGAGGGAGTAACACAGAGTGACCTATAAAGGCTCACACAGACTCAGTCGGACCTCAGTTCGCATGGAAACTGTGTGCACTGTCCGCAGATGGTTGAGACTTCATACTCAAGCATACACCCTGACCGGCTGCAGCCAGCTCTGCAGGCAAGCGGTGTTTGCCTTTCGGACAAATTGAGTTCACTGATTGGTCATTTGCTGACATGCCTACTGGACTGATTGACAGGTTGCAAAAAAAAAAAAAACCAAGAGCTGGTAGTAAGCGGCAGTGGTGTTCTATGTTTATATTTTGTTAATAAAAAGTTCTAAAAAAAAAAAAACAGAATGCTGGCCCTGCAGCCCACACATTGGACTGGCCCACCGGAAAATTTCCAGACACTCCCGCAGCCACGCTAGGCCTGATCTCAATTTGCTCGTGACAAATGCTATCATTTCTCACAATTTCAACCATGGTGTCAAAAGATGAGGAGGAAGAGATTGCTTGCCTCTTGGAAAAAAAGAAAAGAAAAGGCCATTAAACCAGACCACGGATTAAGAAGGGGAATTTAATACATTGGTGTCGCATACAAAAAAAAACTGTCGCTGGACAGTTTATTGTGCGACACAGAGTACTCGTATGCGGTCATAAAAAATTATCTTTCCATGGGCATGCCCGGTAGGAAGGTACTTGTGTCATCTGGACAGAGAATGGATGATAAGGAAACCTGGTGGTGGAATAGTGAAGTGCAGGACGCCATTCAATGAAAGAGATTTGCCAAGAAGAAATATGACAGTGAGAGGACTGAAGAGAGGAGACAGGAATATAAGGAGATGGGAAGTAGAGCAAAGAGGGAAGTTTTAAAGACAAAGCAGAATACGTATAATGAGTTGAATGGGAGGCTGCACACTAAAGTGGTTGAGAAGGACTTGCACCGATTGGCGAGGCAGATGGATCAGGCTGGAAATGATTTGCAGCAGGTTAGGCTATTAAAGATAGGACTCCGAATGTTCTAACAAGTGAGGAGAGTGGGTTGGGAAGATGGACAGTATTTTGAGCAGCTAATGAATGAAGAGAATGTAAGAGAAAGAAGAGTAGAGGTCATATAAACTGTAGACCAGGAAGTGGGAAAGATCATACCAGTGGATGTTTGGAAATGTCTTGGAGAGAGGGTGAGAAAATGCCTCAGGAATGGAGAAGTGTGTTGGTGCCCATTTTTAAGAACAAGGGTGATGTACAGAGTTGTAGCAACTACAGGGGAATTAAGTTGATTAGTCACATGATGAAGATCTGGGAGAGAGTTGTGGAAGCAAGACTTAGATGTGAAGTGACTGTGAGTAGCAGTATGGTTTCATGCCAAGAAAGAGCACCACAGATGCCATCTTTGCTTTAAGAATGCTGATGGAGAAGTACAGAGAGGGTCAGAAAGAACTCCATTGTGTCTTTGTGGATTTAGAAAAATTGTATGACAGTGTACCAAGGGAATAGGTGTGGTATTGCATCAGGAAATCTGGAGTGGCAGAAAAGTATGTTAGACTGGTACAGGACATGTATGAGGACAACAGTACATGTTAGACTGGTACAGGAGTGACAGATAGCTTCAAGGTGGAGGTGGGAGAGAATCAAGTCTTGGCTCTGAGCCCCTTCTTGTTTGCTCTGGTGATGGACCGTCTAACAGATGAGGTCAGACAAGAATCCGCATGGACTATGATGTTTGCAGATGACATTATGATCTGTGGGGGGAACAGGTAAATGGTAAATGGACTGTACTTATATAGCGCCTTTCTATCTTATTGAGACACTCAAAGCGCTTTAGACTACAATCTGTGCCCTCATTTACCCATTCATACAGCACTCTACTAGATCTCTACAAAGCTAATTGAACAAATCATTCTAAAGAGACTAATCAGTGATTTATCACATTCATACACTGATGGGACACACATCAGAGGCAACAAGGGGTTCAGTGTCTTGCCCAGGGACACTTCAGCATGTGACTGCTGTGGGGTTCGAACCCCCAACTCTTGCATTGGAGGACGACTGCTCTAACCACTCAGCCACAGCTGCCCAACAGGTGGAAAAGAACTTGGAGAGGTAGAGTTATGCACTTGAAAGAAGAGGAATCAAAGTCAGATGTAGTAAGACAGAGTACATGTGTGTGAATGAGAGGGAGGCTGGTGGAACAGTGAGGCTACAAGGAGCAGTGGTCACAAAGGTGCAGGGCTTCAAGTACTTGGGGACCACTGTCCAGGAAAAAGGGGAGTGTGGTAAAGAAATGAAAAAGAGAGTCCAGGCAAGATGGAATGTACGAAAAAAGTTTCAAGGGTGATTTGTGACAAAAGTACGTGCTCTATCTCCGCTGATCTTCAGGTTGCTAATTTACGCCACTCGTATTTCCGTTAAAATCCCTGACATATTTACGTCATTGGTTAAAATGATATGCAGTTTCACCACTGAGCTGCGCTGTTTTACCATGGAAATAATTCATTCTGTATCTTTCAGGGTTTTTTCATTCAGCCCAATGCTTAGCATATCATCTTAACCAATGACATAAATATGTCAATGATTTTAACGGAAATTCGAGTGGCGTAAATTAGCAACTTGAAGATAGGCGAAGATAGAGCACATACTTTTCCAAGTAATTTAAGACAGTTCTTATTCATTAACAATGGCCGTGCGACCTGTAAGAATTCTTTTTAGCACATGTGCAAATGAACAGACAATATGGATTGTGCTTCCATAACAGATTGGGCAGTGACAGGCCTTGTACATCTGATTACCTGAGGGCATTCCGTCTGTGTAAGAAATGCCTACACCCATGAGGGGTGGGGTGCTGGGAGCCTGGAGCGCCCAGCTCTGTCAAAGGAAAATGTTACTCAGTGGCAGGAAACTACAGAGAGACGTCAGGAAGTCTTTCATAATAAAATGTAAAAATATACATTTTGAAAATTATGAAAAAAAAAACATAAATAAGATGCTCCTGCATATAAATGGCGGGGTACAAAGTGTGAGAAAAAAAGTAGTGACTTTTATACCGACAATTATGGTATACAGGTTCGGGTCTTAAAATTAGGATATCATGAAAAAGTTTATTTATTTTTAGTAATTTCATTCAAAAAGTGAAACTTGTATATTATATTCATTCATTACACACAGACTGATATATTTCAAATGTTTATTTATTTTACTGTTGATGATTGTAAATGACAACTAACGAAAACCCTCAATTCAACCTGTCTGTCCATACTGATGGAATGTCATAAGGATTTTGGCCAGCTTCGGGTATGTATGTCCGACGCCCATCGCTTGCCTGCACCGGTTCCCATGTCAGATTCCTAGCCACTTTTTCTGAAACTTTATACACATCAAACACTTACACTATTTTCTTTTGCCCTTTTCTTTGCCCCATTCTCAGTGGCTTATAGATGGCTCCTGACTGGCCAGCCATGGATTCTAAGCTGGCACTGCCCTCATCTTCCGTGTCTTCTTTCTCTCGTTCTGCATCTTTTTCTCCTTGACAGGCTTCACTGTCACTCCACTCACTGTCTTTGTTTAATGGTTCCATTTTTGCCAATGCCTTCCATGTTACCATACCATACCATTTTATTTATAGAGCACTTAAAACAGCGACACGGTCAACCAAAGTGCTGTACAGACAGAACAACAGGTAACGCACAAAGCAATATACAAAATGAAGTAAATCAAAATATAGACATAAAAACGATGCAGATAATACATATGATGACTAACCTGTGTGAAGCAAACAGGGTCAAAACACAGATCGTCTGGTGTTGAAAGCTACTGAATAGTAGTGGGTTTTTAAACAGGATTTGAAAACCGAGAGGGAGGGGGCCTGTCGGACAAGCAGAGATAACTCGTTCCAAAGTCTTGGGCCTGCTACAGAGAAGGCCCTGTCACCTCTGCGCTTAAGACGAGTTCCTGGAACTGTGAGGAGCAACTGGTCCGCTGACCTCAGGGAACGTGGTGGGACATATCAATCAACCTTTATTTAGACAGGTAAATCCCATTGAGCCTCGAGGACTCATTTATAAGAGAGACCTGATTTCAACAAAGAAAGATGACAACAATGGACAACAGCAACAA